TGGGGGATCAGATGCCTCTTCTGCCTTCTGCCAAGAATGCACGTACATGGTACATGTGCCTATGTGCAGGAAAACACCATAAAGAGTTGATAAAAGTAAACAATGGAGATGAATACACATAAAACAAAAATAAATCTTTAAAGAAAGGAAAACTTGGTACTGTAAACACTGAATGAGCATCTTCATGAAGGTTCCTGCATAGTGGGGGCACGGAATATGATATAGATGTCCCATTTGTGAACTCTTTACTGTCAATCTGAGACACAATTCAACTTTATCTTTCAATTGAAGACAGAGTGTTCAGCTAGAAGATATTCTTCTAACAGAGGGTAAGTCACCCAGTTTTGCTGGATGTCTGCAAATGTAGCTGTGTCTCATCATCAGAGAAGATGCTAGTGGCTTTCAGTTTAGGAAAAGTTCTTGACCTTTTTAGTTCTCTGTTGTTAAATACCTTTGAACTAGCTCCAGGAACTGGGACCTCCTTGCACTTATAATTTTTCGGTAACTTCTATATTTTTTTCTAATATCTGAGGCTGACTGGGTGACAAAGGAAAACATTCTATCAGGTCTCTTTAATCTTTCTAAAACTATTTATTAAAAATTGTTAAAAGTCTTCCTAGTCAGTGTTGGACAGAGGGAAGAATCCATTCTCTCCAGACTGTGTAGACTGGCCGGGATCACCCTCCAGGCTCTGGGATTGTTGTAAATAGGAACCCTACTCTATAGTAGAATGGAGCAGCAGACTGTGTCTTGCAGCCTGCCTGGCTAGCTTTACCCGAAATAATTACACGGACACTGTTTTTTTTTTAAACATTGCCTGGCCCATTAGCTCTAGCATCTTATTGGCTAACTCTCACATCTTGATTAACCCATTTCTAATAATCTGTGTACCACCACGAAGTGGTGGCTTACTGGGAAGATTCTAACCACTGTCCATTTTGGGTAGGAGAAGCATGGCATCTGCCTGATTCTGCTTCTTTCTCCCAATATCCTGTTCTGTCTATTCCACCTATCTAAGCTGCTGTCCTATCAAAAGTCAAGACAGTTTCTTTATTAACCAATGAAAGTAGCACATAGACAGATGACCCTCCTACATCATTTCCCCTTTTTCTGTTTAAACAAAAAAGAAAGGCCTTCACTTTAACATAGTAAAATTACATATAACAAAACAGTTATAAAGCAAGATTTATAGTTACAATATCTATATCTATTTTATCTTTTATCATAACAAAGGAAAACTATAACTATATATTTATTCTTCAACTCCATCAAAGACTCCAGAAGGATGTAATATTACCTAAGTAAACAAGAAATAAGCAACTTCCAAAACTCTAAAAACAACAGAGACATCTCGTTGCCTGGACAGTCACCCAAAGTTCTTTTGTACTGTTGGGGCATCCATCTTCGGCCTACAGGCCCATAGTATCCAGCAGACATTTCTGTGAAGCAGGAAATTTCAAAGGCAGTTTAGTCACTATATGTTGTGTCCTGCAGAATGTCTCGCAGACTCTTTCATGAATCAGGAACTCTGAAAGACCACCTTACCTTCAAACAAGTTCAGCAGTCCTCTCTCTGTGGGTTCTTCATGTCCAGTTTATGCAACAGTCCAGGCAAGAGCAGTTTCTTGCCCAAATGGCTATCAAACTCCATAAGGAGCCTCTTCAATGTCCATCTTCCTCTTGAAGTAGCTGGTGCTGCCAGGAGCAGACGTGTCTCATTGTCATGAAAAGCCCTAAGTTATTAAAACATTAAATGCCATATTCTGTAGTCTTTGAAAGATATGAAGAATGTCTTTCTGAAATATATCTATGCACATCTAGAAAATCTAACTAACATGACTACAAGCTTGACTATTATTGATGATTATCCATTAACAACCTATATTTCCTAATTATACATTACATTTTTAAATAAACTATACAATCACAATACCTTAATCAAGATCAGAAATATATATATATATACATACAACAAAATTGACCTTAAATCTATATTGCTAAAGCAAAATCCATACCAATGCAAATTATTTCTATCTATATCGTATCCCCCTTTAAATGTAAAAGAACATTTATATACAATATTTGGGAATATGGACGTAGTTATTTCTCTCCAAACTTCTTTCTGCTATATAGGGGCATTGTTAATCAGGTCTTTTTTTTGGTGTATCCTGTGTGAAGTAATTCTTTGAGGGTGTTCATAGCAACCTTTCAGGAGGGCGTGGTCTTTCATATCATATTGGGACAGAAGCAATCCACAGGGTCTCATCCTCTGTGAAAACAAAAGAATCTCTTTTCCAAAGAGTCATATTCTTAGATCCAAATTCTGAAGTCATATACCCTTATGATCTCCATTCTTGTTTAGCTTGGCAGCCCATATAATGAAATGTCTCTCTGTACTTAGCTCCTTCACAGTCAAAAATTTTAAAGAAAACACAATAATACACAGAATCCAGGCCCTCTGAGAATTTTCCATTTTTATGTGGCTTATTTTTATCTATTTCTTTTAATCTATAACTATCTGTACTCTGTCTCTTTCAAGACTTTACCCCTTATATTTTTAAGGCATTAACTTTATTCTCTATATTCCTTTTCTTTTCTCTCCCAAGCCTATGTACACTCATCCAACATTGTGACCCATTTAGAGGTCTTTTATGTCTGAATCTGTCCTATTGTGAATCTGTAATTTTTTTACTGTCCAGGAGCACTTTTGATTTGCGCCTTTAAATTGCTAAGCGCTTGAGAATCTAAGCTGTGACATTCCTAGGTCAAAACCAGGTACTGCAGGCTCGCCCTGCCCAGTCCAACATGGTGGATCTCATACTTCTGAGCCTTGCACATTGCACTGCTAGCATGGCAGAGCTGCTTGTGCCTCTGAGCCGCAGCACGCAATGACCCCCTTTTAGGCACACAGCGAGTCTAGTTGCCATCAAACAAATCATAGCAGTTTACTCCAAATGCTCCATTCAAAAAGCTCTGTCTCCTGCAGGAGCCAGAACAGAGACAGTTCTGGCACAGCCCAGAAACTGGTATTTCAAAACCACCACTTTAGAGCAGACCTGATCCTACTGCCTACCCAGGCAGGAAGAGCCAAGCCATGGGCATGGTCTCAGCTACTTTGTTCCCGACCCCGAGTGGGCACACAAACGTCCAGGCCCAGAAATGCTCCGTAGCTGGAGTTTGCACTGGCGGCAGGGCCCAGGAAGCCATGTTTTAAAACAGTGCAGCTTTTTTCTGCCGCTATTGCTGAAACAGGAAATTTCTCTACTGCACGTCCTAGCAAACAGAAAAAGCTGTGTTAAACTCTATATTTGTGTCTACAATTCCTTTTCAAGCCCTTTTAGTCTTTACATGGAGTTAGTTACCACATTGTGCAGCCATCTGTTGTAAATTGGAGCATCACTCTGTAGTAAAATGGAGTGGGCTGTGTCCCGCTGCCTGGTTCATGGCTAGCTTTACCCAAAATAATTACACGGACACTGTTTTCTTTTAAACACTGCCTGGCCCATTAGTCTAGCCTCTTATTGGCTAACTCTCACATCTTGATTAACCCATTTCTAATAATCTATGTACCACCACAAAGTGGTGGCTTACTGGGAAGATTCTAACCACTGTCCGTCTTGGGTAGGAGAAACATGGCGTCTGCCTGACCCTGATTCTTTTTCCCAACATCCTGTTCTTACTACTCCACCTATCTAAGCTGCTGTCCTATCAAAAGCCAAGACAGTTTCTTTATTAACCAATGAAAGTCACAGTCAGATGACTCTCCTACATCATGGGATGGTTTTTATTTATTTTCTCAGAGAATGTGGATGATGAACTTTCCAGCTGTATGGACAAATTACTGACAAGAAGACATACATCGTACAGAAGAAAGAGTAGATTACCTTTCTTTCAGGTTCAGCTGAGGGGAACTTTTCCCATTCCCCAGCACTGCTTAGAACAGATATAGAGTGGAGGGAATGCTCACCTGGGAAGCTATTTCCCCTCCCTGTGTGCACTGCAGTAGATGCAGAGGGGTTTGAATGAGAAACTTGGTCTCTCCTAACTGAGACCAACCCTGACCGTGAGTAGGAGTCAAGTAATGCACCAAGCAAGTGCTCCCTCTCAGGGACTGAAACAGATAGAAGGTTCTTGTTCCTGTTGCTTTGTTTGTTTCTGTGTTTCTCTGTAGGTGACATGGCAGAACCAAAAACGATTCGGGTCCCCAACAGAAGGGCACATGTCTTAAGCCAGGGGTTTCTATATCAGAGAAAGCATGGCTTAATAGAGAGAGCAAGAAGTGACAGAAACACACAGACACCCAGATACACACACAGACTGAAGACAACCACTGATGACCACCACACATTCTTACACCTGAACAGACAGGGGGAATCCAGTGACATCCCACAGGCTTCTGACACTGGACCAGTGCCCTTGTTGGACCTCTCCCGTGTGTCCAAAAAGATGTCGCCTTAACTGGACTTGCCTCTGGAGGTGACATTCTAATTTTGTTTCCTTTTGGGGTGGAGATGTCAGACTCCTTTGAAGCATGAGGCAACAATTGATCAAAGGGAGCCCTGGGGACCTAGAACTCAGGTTGCACAGCCCCAGGACAGTGGTTCTAATCTTCCTAATGTGTGATCCTCTAAGACAGTTTCTCATATTGTTTTTGATCCCAAATCATAAAATTACTTTTGATACTACTTCATAACTGTAGTTTTACTACTGGTACGAATTGTAATGTAAATATCTGCTATGCAAACTATCTGGTGTGTGACCCCTTTGAAAGGACCATTCAACCCCCAAAGGGAGTTGTGAGCCATAGGTTGAGGACCAGTGCCCTAGGGGCTTCTTGACCACCACAGCCTTCCCTACTCCAAGGGGTCTGAGACCTCTGTTGTCTTGAGGTCTTGCTCAGGATTCTCTGTAGGAACTTCCAGAAATGCGGGGTATTCACTAGAAAAGACTGCTCAGACATGGATTTAAGACAAGAGAAACTCTTTATTAGCTGATCATTAATTACACTGGGTGTTGAGATCCCAGTATAGCACTGAGCCTTTCTCAGGTAGAGCTTTTAAGCACAAAAACCATATTCTGGATGGACATACGTCAGTTAACAGAAGAGTTTGCAGAAGTGGAAGGACAGAAGCCTAAAGCAAGGTTAATCCATTCAGAGACTTGGATGGACTGGGCCTTTATTCGAGTTCTGGCAGGTAGTGCTTCCTATATGCTGAGTTTTACAGCCTGGATGGAGCTTCCATCATGGACTCAGGTGTGCCCTGTTAAAGTTATCAGTGATTTCTAAAAAGAAAACTGGTCCTCAACTTCTGTTTTCTTGATTAGTTATTAGAGATTTCCTTTAGACATCTGAGATATTTGATTATTGCCCGTTACATATGCAAGAGTAAAAACTTCACATTCCCACTAAGGAGATCTGGTTATCCTGTTTCCTATGCTAGGGATGGGCAATAACCACATTCTTTCCAGGTCTCTAGTAAAAGTAGTTCCACAATGAGGACAATTCCCACTGAGGAGCACCAAGAGAAACAATACAAGGTGATAAGAAGAGACTCTAAGCAATTAGCACAGAGTGAAAGACCATGAAATGCTGTGTCCGCAGCATCCTGATTCATCTAGTGGAGGCTGATGGAAGGGAGAGTGGCGGCACCAGATGAACTCTTATGACTTCTCTGGAGCATCTTCAACCTGCAGCAAGGAAACACATCTTTTGAAGGGTCTGAGGAAAGCCTGGGTCAGTTCTCCTGGGTGCCCTGTACCAGTCATCACTACCCACAGCCATCCTCACTGAGGGTCATTCCATTCCCTCCTCCATCACCCCTGGGCTCTCCATCCTGGATCCCCTACTGTCTTCCTCCTTCTTTCCCATGTCCCAGAGCCCCAGACCCTGCTGCAGTCCTGGGAGTTCAGAATAAAGTGGTGATGACCAGCTCTGCTTCCTGACTCAGGGGCTGATGGGTGTGACTGTTCCAGTCCAACTAAGTTCATTTGAGCAGCCCAGATGGGAGTAGACTCCAGCAATAGGCTCAGTACACCAGCCTCCAGTGCAAACTCTGCTCCAGGGGTTCAGAAGGCTGTTGCTGCTGCTTGATTCACTTTTATTTTATGTCTGTGCATGTGAGCCTTGCATGCCTATAAGTGCACTGTGTGAATGTCTGGAGTCTGTGCAGAAGAACAGGCTGGATCCTCTGGACCTAGAAATGTATGGTTGTGACGGCCCTGTGGGTGCTGGAAATAGAACATGTGTCTGATGCATGGGCAGCAGGTGTTCTTGCCAATGGACCAGCTCTTCATTTATATCTTTTTTATTTTGTCTGTGGGGTGAAATTCTCTTCCTTCTATATATTAAGAGGAACTACCATGTGCTTCTGTGTTCCTGTTGTCTCCACCTCTGCATTATGGGACCCTCCTGATTAGGAGTCTGCTCTGAGCACCCACCTGCTGTGTTCCCTCCTCACTTTCCACTGCTCTGTGACATGATTCCTATCTCATGAAGGCTGACCACGCACAAGCTATTGCTAGCAGGTGACATGAACTCCAGACCTCATGCCTCCTTTCTCAATAAGATGCTACAGTTGAGGGACAAGATCATGACTTCAGGAATTCACTCTTGCTTCCTCACTCCTCACCCATCTATCCCTTACACACTCCCAGAACCGCCCCCAGTACCTGTCATTGCAGATACTTTAAGAGAACCAGGAGGGCTAAGGTGAATAGCAAGACAAAGGCATTGGGCTCCATGGTCATGGATGAAGACTGGTCCACATCTGGGGCAATGGTTGGTGAGGCTGAAGTGAAAATATCAGCTGTGTCTTTGACCAGACCTGAAATCAAGAGAAAAATCTCACCATTGCTTCTGGGTGCTCAGGTAATTCAGGACATAGATCCACCTCTGTTGCTATGCAACAGCTGTTAGGTGGGTCCTGAGTGGGAAAGGAAGAGAGGGCATGTTCCCTGATACAGCTATGGTAGGGGAAGCAGGGTAATGATGGGACTGCATCTTTCCTGCTGACAGGAGGGGAGGCATGAGGAAGACCTGTGAGGACCGTGGCAGGGAAGAAGAAAGAGATCAGGAGAGATGAAAAACAACAGTAATTCTAGAGTGAGGACAATGCCAGGAAACAAATGGTTGCTATGCTGTGACAGTCAGCGAGGAACACAGTGTGTGAACAATGTAACCACAATTACTGAGATAGGAGAGGGTGAGAATGGAAAAGATTGATGGGAAAAATGACCATTAACCCAAGAACTCATAGATTTAGATTATTTCTCTCTCTCTCTCTCTCTCTCTCTCTCTCTCTCTCTCTCTCTCTCACACACACACACACACACACACACACACACACGCACACTTCATCTCATCTCTGAAGACTTTTCCCAAGGTACCTGTAGGCTCCAGCTTTTCTTCCAAGTGTGACATTTTTATCTCCTTATGCCAGGCCCCGCAGTCCCCCTGTGAGGTCCTGTATAAGAAGCCTGTTAAATCTTCGTTTTTCTCCCACATCTCTTTTATCCACATGGATCCAGGATCAACTTCAGTCCACTTTCTAGTGCTTGGGTGAAGATACAGCACTTTGTGTTCGTTGAGGTGTAAGTCACAGGATGCATAGGAAAGTCCATCTGCTTCATACCAACAGCTTATCCTGACCTGCACAGTGAAGGGCTCTGTGCCCATTGGAAAGGGATCAGCCTTTGGCTTTGATGAATCCTGTCTACCTATCCTCCTCCCTTCCCATCCTCTGACCTTCCACATTTTACCATTGGTGCTGGACCTCTTAGGTGGGAGAGGCTACCAGTGATTCATTTCTTATCCTCCATGAAAACAATGAATGTCCCTAGCCCATCACAAGTCCTGTTCTTTCCCTCAGGTGCCCATCTGATTGTTCTTTTATTTACTTTGTAACAGTGGGGATTGAACCGAGGTCCTCACGGATGCCAGTCTAGCACTCTGTCTCTGAGCTTCATATCCGGAACTATGGGGCCATTTGAAACTCACCTCTGCTTGCATTAATCTCCTGTTTCATGAGAAGTGCTTGGTTAGTGACCCGGCCGAGTCCATCTTTCAGAGTGTCAACCTGTGTGTCCCAGGACTTTGTGGCATTCAGTTTCTTGCCAATAAGACCAATGGCATGGCAGTTGTTGGTACTGCCACAGGAAATGAAAGTATTTTCATTCACTTGACCTTTGACTTTCTGCCTCCACGGTCCAGACCCTGGCCTGACAACACTGTAGTTGACGCAAATGGAAGCAGCATCTGTGAAGGAAACATGTGGTGAGGGATGCAGAGCAGGGGCTCAGAGACAGTCTCTGCCTGGGGAACAAGAAAGTCCTCTGGAAGGGTGTCTTTAAAAAAAAAGAGAGAGAGAAATAAGTAAATAACGTTAAAACCCTGATTGAACTTTCCCTGTGTTAAGTAAAGTATAGTCCGTCATTCTCTCTTGTTTGAGGATGCAAGTCAAGGAGTGGCCGACCCCTGCTCTTCATCAGGACAATTCTCTAATCTGTTATCACATGATCATGCTGTGGTGGGCCTTGTCAGTGATGGCAGGAAAATTAAGAAGCTGTTTTCTGAATTTTTCAGGATTCATCAAGAGGCCCTAAACCCAGGCCCTCATCCTGTCATTTCTAGCTAGCCCAGAAGTCATAGGCAGTATAAACCCACTAATTCCCGGGAAACATGCAGCTTGCACAGTACATTTGAATACACTCTGGGGGGGGCACCAATACTGGTACATGGGGTATACCCTAATCTGGGGTCAGAAGAGTGATGGAGACCAAATCTGCTGTCCTGTTCATCAGCTTGCTGCCCTCTGAGCCAGTTACACTAAATGTCGACTCGAGTGTTTAATGCAGGACAGGTATAGTAAGGCTTGCCTGGTGGAAAATTTCAATGCCTGCCATTTACAGAAAATGAAAAACAAACAAACAAACAAAACCCAAACCTATTTCTGCCTAAAGGAATACCATTAATTGATGCTGTTTTCCCAGGAGGTAGACTAAATGAGCCTGGAATGCCAGGGCAGAGCCTTCCACATGTCCTACCCAGTACCATTCCTGGAATCCACTATAGTCAGCCCTGGTTAGCTGAGGTGCTAATCCACAGATTGTCACCCGGTGGAAAAGGGGCTGAAAGGCACTTTATGGATGGGGAGTGGGAAAGGCTATATGGGCAAGGAAGGGCACTGAGCCGGCTGGTGGTTGATGAGTCTCATGGAATTGAAGGGGAAGGTTGGTGGTAGAAAGTTGTAATCCTAGCACCCGACAGACCTATAGAGAGAAGGAATGGCTGCAAATTCTGGGCTCTGGTGTAAAGTCCTGCTGTAAAACAAAGCGAAAGCAAGAATAAATGGGTAAAAAGTGAGAAAGAGCGTGGTTGATAACGTTTTCCCTGAAGTATCCTTTGTCATCTGCTGGAATAGTATGGTGGAATGATGGGAAAGAAAGTTCCAGGGCATAGAGGCTCAGGAATGCAGGAGGGTTCCTCTGGGAATCCCCTGGGAAGAGTCTTCAGAGCACAGACTGCCTTCAATCCAGGGGAGCTGTCTGAGCTTCTTGGCGGAGTCTGGCACTGTGCGCATCTCCTCCGGACCTCCTGACTCGGCTTAGCCTTCCTGTGACACCAGTATGACAGAATACTCATGGCGTTATGGTAACTTTTTCCCACCTCCCCTGAACATGGTAGGGGCAGGGCAAGGGAAGGTGCGCTGCAAGTGCCACATTTCCGCAGGCGCTGCCTTTACCGCAAGTGCCTCAATTCTGAGGGTCTGGGAGCTTCCCAGAGGAGGACTACTACCTTGAGATTCAATACCCACTTCCCTTCCCTCCTCATCCCTCTCCTCGCAGCCCTCGGGTTAAATCGCCTTAAATCGCAGCAGCTCACCAGTGGGTTGCAAGGACCCCAAACAGATCAGTAGAACCAATAAGCACTGCTTCTTAAAGATAGTTCTCAGCGGCTGCATTCTTTGCCATACCCTGAGCCACAGGTTTAGTAATCAGAGTTGCAGAGAGAAGCGGAGAGGCCTCAGTGCCGCCTTGCAGAGGGTTCACAAAAGTGCCAGGCACCAGAATGAATTCTCAGTGGGGATTCTGGGCGTCCTGCACAGGACAAGCTCCTTCAATTTAGAAGCAGACTGTGAAGGCGGAGACTATGACCTGAGTGATGCAGGCTGTTGTCCAATCCCCAGGCTCCTAAACCTCCCGGTCCCTACCAGACAACCAACCAGGGCCCAGCCTTCTAAATCCATGGCAACTGACCCAGCCCAAAACACAAAGCTTTTCCCTAAATATATATATTTTTTTCTTGCGGTCTGACACCGGAAAGGGACGTGTGTACCTAAGAGCAGTCGTGCCAGAAGAAACTTGAAGTCACTCCCAGGAGTTTCTCTCCAGAGTCTTCCTTCTTCAGTGTCTAGACAAGACTGGGGAGGAAGCTTCCTTCTTCCCAGAATTCTCTTGTTCTCATTGACCCACCTCTACTTCCTGTTCTGTCATCCTGCCTATACTTCCTGCCTGGTTACTGGCCAATCAGCGTTTATCTAAAACATAATTGACAGAGTAGAGACTGCACCAAATGAGTTCTGCACCAAATGTCTGTTTCAAATAAACAACATTTATGCACAAGAAAACAGGACTATGAGACCTTGGGATTTTGCCTAGGATAAAAGTTCATACAATTTAAAAATATAATT